CTAACTCTGGGAAACGAACTAGGGGTGGTGGAAGGGGAGGTGGGCGGGGGGTGGGGGTGACTGGGTGGTGGGCACTGAGATGGGCACTTGACAGGATGAGCACTGGGTGTTATTCTGTATGTTGGCAAATTGAACACCAATAAAAAATAAATTTATTATTTAAAAAAAATAAACCAGGAAACCTCATCAGACCCCAAATATGTCGGCATCTCTATCTTAGACTTCTCAGTTTCCTGAGCTGTGAAAAAATAAATTTCTGTTATTTATAAGCCCCCCAGTCTAAGGTATACTGTTATATAGCATCCCCAAAAGACTAAGACTGTTTCCTTGTTGATCTTCTGTCTACTTCTGTCCACTGTTGAAAGTGGGGTATTAAATTATCCTGTTCCTATTGTTGAACTGTTTCTTCCTTTAATTTTGTAAGTCTCTGAATCATGTATTTCAGGGGTCTGTTGTTAGGTACTAAATGCACTTTTCATCAAATGTCTGGGTACATCAATTTGCCCTCCTGCCAACACTCTCAAAATTAGCCCTTGAATCAGCAGGAACAATGGTGATGCATAGTAGTTAACATTTAAGAGTAATGAACACCTTATGTTCTCTTCTAGCAGAAATGACATCTCTCTGGATGAATGGTTGGTAAATATGTCTTATCTGGACCTAGATGGTCTTTGAAAAATCCAAATAACTCTTGATAAGTAAATTATTTTCTTCTGGTTTTACATGTTTTTCTCCCTTTGAAGACTATGAACCAAAGGTGACATCTTCTCCAAATTTTTGGTTTCCCAGAGGAATAATGAAGTTAAAATCAGTGAATTCAAGTCAAATTTCTGAGACCTTGACTGATCGTGGTCAACAATGTTACTTTCAGACCTGGCAAGAAAAGCTAGTCTTGCTTTTAAATAGTAATCCCCATGAGAATACAAGGACTTGGGGAGTCTACAAGAACACATTTTTAGGGACCACCAAACTTGCTATGGTCACAGCACCAGTAACATCCTACAGACATGCCTTATATGCTCATGACATATCAGGTGCCCCCCCCAGCCTTTAAGCTATATCCTGAAAAAAAAGAAGCTATATCCTAGCATCATAAAGAAGGTATAAACAAGGAAACCAATACATCACTTTGGTAAATATTGTGATGGCGTAAACAGAAGATGCTAGGGGTGGGGCAGAGTGCTGGAAGAAGGCATACCTCCTCTATCAGGGCATTATGATGGTTCTTGTCAAAGAAATCCAGAAGCAAGGCTGGTTGGCTGATGTGGGGTATGGGATAGAGGCCAGCTCGAGATCATGGGGCTGTGTATGACCACACAAGCATTGCGGATCATTTGAACTCACTCTCCATGCCCTACCACAGTGTTTCTCAGAGAATGGTCCAATACCCACTGGTTGACCTCAAAAGTCTTCCTAATGTAAAAATGCGAGTGCTTTCTTCAGTTCTTAATGGCAGATGGGGATTAAGTCCATGCATAGCCAACAGCTATTAAGTGAATTATTAGGAATCACTAAATTTCGCATCTTTCTGAAGCCCTGGTTTAGTATGTAACCATGAAGTCTGGCTGCCACACAACATGTGGCCATACTGTAATGTCCAACACAGAGAGGAAGAATTCCTGCAACTTCAGAACAACAGTTTCTTTCTAGTGCTTCATGGGTCCCAGGACTTTTAATCGCTGCTGTTTGTGCTCATTAACATAACTATAGATTTATTCTTAGGGTTTACCTTTGTTAACCATTTTTCTTGTGATTGCTGTATTGCTACCACTTTGATACTTATTTTGTTCCTCCCCGATGCTTTGTTAACACTGAGTTCTTTAAAAAAAAAAAAAAACACTGAGTTTTTTTTTACCACTGGAAGAAGAGAAGAGATGGTGTGGGCTGGTTGTACAATCTTGTTTTGCTCCGCTCCAGAAGTTTAAGGACGTTGCCCTAGAGGAACTGTTTGATCTCACTAGGCTTGTCAATGATGTTCTGGACATTCCATATGTCCAGAGGCTAATTCTGAGCCTCTATTAAACCATCCCATTCCCACTACCTCCTTCAAACTGTCCCTAACACAAAATCATCACAAGTTACCCCTCTCATAAATCATAACATCAGTTATCTTTCCTGCCTACTTAGAGGATCATAAACAGTCATTGGATATCTTGAATCACTGAGCTGCTGTCTAACTCTTGAGTTGCCTTTTGAAGTATTTTATCTTTCCACCAAGATCAAAGTATCCCTAGAGTGGAGACCAAGTTTGACATCTATATATCTTAGCACATAATGAAGAAAATGCCCATGGTACAGAGCTAGAGGCTCTTTACTGGGCACCTGTGGTCTGATCTGAGGATAGAGAGGGAACAGAAAAGGACACCCAGCTTGCTGGACACCAGCCCTGAGCAGTCCTTTGGGTTCTCCAGATCCCTATCTATGAAGTCTGAGGTGGAATCTGCTATAGCTATAAAGAAACAAGCCAATGGTAGCTTCTGACTGTAGACACAGGAGATTCCTGATCAAGCAGCAAAGACAAAGAGGTAGCCCAGAAGGAGGAAATCAGGCCAACCAGTAAGGGGCTAAATGATGGCTGGTCCAGGATATTTACGCCTTATGAGTCCACTGAATGAGTCAATGTTAAAAAAAAAGGCTCTCCCTCTGTGACCACAAACCATGACCATGGAAGTCTCAAAATCTGACATAATTGTGGGAGAAGAATTAGTACGTCAAAAGCAAACCAGCCTACTACCTCTGCTACAAGAAATAAAGGTCATTCCTTGGCTTAAAACAATGACTGTATTCATTTGGAATTCAGATCAATTACCGTGACAACGTTAGGTTTTCACATTCCTTTAAGAATAAGGAAAAATAGGCCTCTCTGAGTGGTTTTGCATTATTAGAATTTGTTCAGGGAAAAAGAATCATTATAGTCTTCTCTGAGAAAATGAAGTAAGAAAAACTTGTCCTGGCTATCTGGTAACTTTTCGGTATTTTATTGAGTTGATATTGTTCCCCATTGCTGTAACGATAGATCCAAGGCTGCACACTCACTGCCAGATAACACTTCAAGATCCTCTCTGAGCTCATTTTAAAACAGCATTCCTTTGAATCTTCAAAACCAAGTTCTTCTGAAACTGTAACCAGGGTTAAATTTAGGTCGACATGGATTTCATAAGAGCAAAGTCCTTTAAAGTTTACATTAAAGATTCATGTGTCTAACTGGCCTTGGTTGGGTGATGATAATAAATATTACACAATGTTTATTTCCCTTCCCCGGGGTTTCTCACAAGAAAGTTCTGCAGCTTCGTCCCAAGCATATTGCAGTATTTCATCTCAGCTTGGCTATATAAGCAGGGCAGAGTGTAATGATGCTCATCATCAACTTGTTTCATTCTGTCATAAAGAATAAGTGTTTGTCACCACACCTCAGGTCAGTTCCTGCTTGCGTCACTTGGGCCCTGGCCAGGTTCCTGGAATTCATTCTAGAGTCATAGAATCCACTGTATTTTATTCTTACTCCTTTGTTCTTTTATGTAACTGTGCTGAAAACACTAGATACTGTGTTGTGTTATTTTAACTCAAAACAGCTCCTCTTTCTCTGTACCATAAAGAAATCTCTTCCGTAGAGCTAACTTGGAAATGTTCTAGTAAGCCGGCATAAGCGTGACACAAGTAACATTGCCATTACACTTGGGATTATCTCAGAGAATGTTCTATTATTCGTTATGTCTACAGGAGAAGGCTCAGCAGGGCTCCAGTGCTGTGCTTGCCTTGACCTACATGGCCAGAGGTCGCCTTGACCTACATGGCCAGAGGTCACCCTGACACCCATAGGGAGCGTGTGATACCTCTGTAAGGTACAGTGGGAGGAAGGGGTGAAGTAGAATAACACATAAGTGACAGCACTAACTTTGAAGTCACATGCCCTCTTGAGGATGCATGACAGGGAAAACCAGTCTTTCTGTAAGATTCATCTCAAGAATGGGAGCAATAAGTGGGTATCAGAAACGATGGATGTGATGCTCTTCATACAGTATCTGGCACATGGTATATGATTAACACACGTCTCTACTGCTCAGCACATAGGGGATGCTCAGCAAATATTGAAGAAATGAGTGAGTTGATGAACAAACGAATGAATGGGCAGTCAGCCAGATAAAGACCTGTTTTGTGTTACCAATGTAGATTCCTCTCTTCTGAACTTAAACTTCTGCTTAAGAAACGGAATAAACTGTGCATGGTGGGATTCAGTAATGTTGGATAAAGTAGATTTGCTCTCATGTTCCCAGGAGAGAGCTGGAAAAGAGAGGACAGGCTGATTCCACACACCCCCTGCTGGCAAAATTCGCAAACCAGTCCGCACCTGTCAGGTCTGCAGATGCAGGGCAGGGCTGAGCCCTCACCAGAGGGTCATGATTGAACAGATCCATTAACAATAAAAATAAGGTCACAGGCCCTGCCTGCACTGCCTCCTTGGGAGGGTGGCAGGTACAGTTTTGAGCCTGCTCTTCCCTCGTGCACATTCTGAGTCATCACCGGGGCCCCTTGGTCTGCTCTGCACACATCTGGGTTATTCCTGTCAAGGCCTGAACTGATCCCTACCCTCTTTACACTTCCAGACCTCCTCAACACCTTGCTCCCATGAGCCTCTCCTCAAGACTAAGTTCATCACTCTTCGTGGCATCTGGGTGGGGAAACTGAGGCGTGGAATGAGGGACCCCAAGATGAAAAGCTCCCCAGGGCCCACTCCCAACCCTGCCCTCCCCCAGCAAAGAAGGTGACCAGAAAGGGGTTGGCAGACAAACATCCTCTATGGCTCTCCAACTGGTTATGAAATATGACAGGCCCCGAAGCTCGGCTTTACCAGGAAATCTTTGCATCAGAAAAACTGGTCTAAACTGAAGGCCCTGGAGCTTAATGAATACTTCTGGAATTCCAGACTCCCTCTGGGGAAGGCTTCCGTAACCCATTTTACAGCAGTCTTTTTAAGTGGAAGGAAATAATTTTTCACTCACCTTCTTTCTTCCAACTACTGCTCAGCTTTGGGGACGTACTTCAGTTCGCTTTTAATGTTCTGGATCTCTGATAGGTTGACCGCAGGTCCTGGAAGTTTCTTCGCTCCTGGCATTGGCTTCTTCTCCTCATCCGAGGTGGGAGGAGCACCCTGAAGAGAAAGAAAAGAAAGAAGGGATGGGATCTCTGAAAAAAGAGACATTTGGGTTCTCTGTCACTTGTTCCTGCGCTGTTGAGACACCCTCGGAGCTTCCAGAAGATCTGAAGTTTGTAGACGAATATGAAATAAAGTTGGAAGAAGAAAACAAGTCATCTCCATGTGACTTAGAAAACACAGGAGTACTATTCAATGCCTGAAAACTAACAAACATTATGACTAGTTAGGATTTGTGTTTCCAGGAGAAGCACCTTACGAGAGCAAATTTAATTTCGTATCTTAGGATCCTAATATGCCTGCACAGCAGAGATTTGTAGAATGTTAGTACACAGTTGGCTCTAACAATGACTTAGTCCAGAAGCTTAAAAATATTTTTCTTTGGGGTGCAGTAGCTGCCAGCCTTTGTTCCAATAACATCTCTGGGAAGCATAAACAAACTAGTATTTATATAAGCAAAACCTTCTTGAATGTGGGTGGGATGAGGTGGAGTCACAGAGGAGGCCCAGTTCTCCCTCCCAGCTTTAGGAGCTATTTGAAATTTCCTATTATTTAATGTTTTTATATTGTTGCAGCTTTAGGGCGAGACCACATCCTATATGGTTTTTTTTTTTGTGGCTCCTCTAATGCCTGGTACAGACGTGCACACTTGCCCATTATTGTTTAGCTGATTAATCCCAAGAATGTACCATAATGGCAAATATATGCCTGTGTACATACGCCAAACATACATATTAACAGTGACTGTAACAATGAGATCAGTGGCTGTATGTGGCTCCTACAACCCCCAAGTCATTACTATAGAAAAAAGTTGCTTATGAGCTCATTGTTCCTATGGTAGAGGTGGGGAGCATATTCTCTGGCCCTAGAAGAGAGATGTTGGAGGAACATTTGATCACCGTGGCAGCCACAGGAGCACGCCTCTCCGATCAGTTTTCTCCCGGCAGGGTAATTAGATGACTGGTCCCAGCTGCTTCACCCTACAAGCCGCCCATCGCCACATTGAGATCACACTTCCCACGGCTACTCTGCTCGTGCCCAATGACTGAGTGTCACAGGATCCTGAGGCCAGCCTGTTCCCAGGAGACAAGAGACTCTTGGGAAGGAACTTCAGCTCGAGAATTTTCCTTAGAACAGCAGTGAGGTCTAAGAGGTTTCGCCCCCATCCGCTGTCCCACTCTTCTTCACCCACGTCACATCCAACCACCCTCCCATTCTTCCTTACAAGTGGTTTCGCCAATAAATATCTTGTATGTCCAAGCCCATCGTTCTGTGGGCTTCTTGGAGTACCCAAACTAACACAGTCAAGATGTGGGACTGGCAGGGCTTCATCTGTTTGGCCAACAACTGAGTAAACCAATACAGTTTCAGGGAAAAGGAGTAAGAAACCACACCTTTGCCTGTGGTTCAAGCCCTATGCCCATGCTTGTTGCCAGCCTAACCAGGCAGCCCTGTGACCTGGGTATTCAAGCTAATGCTGGGCTTTGCCTCCATCTGGCTCCTACATCTAGTTCTCAAAATGTCTCGAACCTACAGGGAAAGGGAAGAAACTGTTCAAGAGTCCCAACCTCTAACCAATTATTTGGTAGTCCTGTCCTTTATAGAATTGCCTGTTTGAGGGGTGAGTAGAAATATAAAATATTAATGTGCTGTTCTTCTAAGGACTAATGGTTTCTCCTGTAGTCATTTTCTTTGAATGTTGGCACAGCACTGATGAAAGAGCTAATGTGTCACCCACACAAAATGATAAAGTGATTCAGTGTAGACTGTACCTGTTGTAAATATCTGGAAAATAATGTTTCCTCAGGCCAACGTACAGAGCCATAGGATTGGCTTCCTTTTATCAAGGATACACATTTATCATTTATAAATGCAGATTTAGAAGCAATAATTAAAACTATTAAACATCCACTTGGAGCACCAGGTATTCAAAAGTGTTCTTTGCTAGGCTTTTGGAAAGAGGTTTTAAACAAGGCTATAAATTGGTTTTTTTTAAATATGTGTAGCACTGAAATGAAGAATGTTTCCTCACTTATGAATGTTCCCATGGTTGTTAGGTGGGTAGATCTTAATAAAGAAGCATGAAGAAGAAAAATGTCTCTAATTCCTTCTGTTAAGTTCCTGGGTAAGTCACATTCACTGTGTTTGTAATATCAAAATGTGCTATATTGGCACATTTAACGCATAAAGCCGCTGTGTGTAGTTATGTGTCTATATGCAAAGATTTACTATGTGAACATACACGGATAGAGGATGATAATATTTAATATTAGTCACTTCCAAATTATTAAAACCTCAATGTACTGGGCTTTTTTTAATAAGGTAAGACTTTTAGCACTTGATTTGGCATGGTCACATATGATGGAAATTATAAATGGATATATTCAATAAGTAGACATGACATTGACTCAAGAAGGGGTTAATGGTGGTGCATATTCTTAACTGTAACTTCTCTCATCTTTTAAAAAATGGGAATCAGATCCTATTTCTTCTATAAATTTATTATAAGAATTATAATAAATAAAGGCATAAGTTGGCAGGGCTCCAGATGGCTCCATTTGGCTAATGCATAATACTTTTTTTTTCCTTTTGTTTGTAGATATTTGAACTGAGAAGGGACATGGAAGACTTTCTTTGGTTGAGATAAAGAGAGCTCGAGAGAGAGAGGGCTTATCAGCCGCAGCACTTTACCAGTTTTGGGAATGGCTGTTGTCAAGGGAAACATTCCCCTGGGGGCAGTGACAAAGTATTTGTAAAATGTGGCGAAATGGTGAACCATTTTCTGGCTATCTTGCCTCCATCTCCCCCTTTACTACCGGACACCCTATTGAGATCTCCCCTAACCTCCCCTCTGTGGGGTGATGGAGTCTGCTGTGTTCGTCTGTGCTCAGACACTGAGGACTTAGTACCAAGAGCAACCACACTGCTAGCTGTTCTAAGTTACAAAGGCTAACTCATTGAATCCTCACACCAATGCAATAAATCTGCTATTGTCCCTGTTGTATAGTTGAGGAAACTGAGGCCCAGGGCAGGGAGGGAAAGAGTAAGAAAATTGCCCACGGCCTCACAGCTAGGAAGTAGTGAGACCGGAATTAAGCAGTGTGTTTGCATCTTGTAAGGGCACAAGGTGGAGAGGGAAATAATTAACAGAACGGCCCAACATGCTATTTTCTGGCTTAATAATGATGGAATTACGGTCAAAAAAGAGATTTGAGAGGCAGAGTGGAGGCTTGTCAATACCCTTCAAATCACTCGAGGCAAGCAGCTGCCTTGTATTATCCAAAAGATGGGCCCTCCTTGTAAGGATTTGGCTGTAAGGCCTCTATGTCGGGCACATGCCAACACTGGCTGGGCCGAGCAGACGGAGGGTGCGCTCCAGCTCTGTGAGCAAAGGGCTCACAGAGACCATAGGTGGGCTGAAGACCCAGCCAGTGCTCACAGGCCTTGTCAGACAGCCAAAGGCTGATCCTGGCTTCCTGCTGGGGTACATCCTCTTCACATAGGAGATGGCATCAGGACTGAGATGGGGGAGCTGCTGGCTGTGATCGAGGTGGCCTATTGTGTTCAGGGATGCTGTGTTATAATCTCCATTTTATACAGTGATTATCTTAATGCAAGGCTAGGCAACAAATCCCAAAGCTAAGTATGTAAGCAATTCCAGGTTTGCGAACTAGAAAATTTTTTGGAAGTGTGGCTGTAGAAGTTATTTTTATTTCAGATTCCATTTTTCCCTCCAAACTACAGGACAAAAGGGGGCAAACCCACAAAATCCTACTTAATGCCCCTTGTAGCCAAGCCAAGCTGCCTAACTGTTCCCCATGCAATGTTGTTTCCATGAGAAACTCACTCCAAGGTCCGGGCCAGACTTTGAGTCATTAAATCCCAACCCTACCTAAGACCCCACAAGCCCCGAGAGAGCTCATTTCTGCTCTTACAGGAACAGAATACCACCGTCCCAGCCCATGGAGCCCCATGAGAAAGGTACAGCTCATTTCAAGAAACACTCCTGGGGTCTCTGGATCTCTGTGGATACCTCACTCCCTTCATCCTGTGCAGAATATTGATTAGCCATCTGTACATGTGGCTTATCAGAAAGTAGGTGTTCACAAACAGGCTATATCAGTTCTTGTCTATTTTAGAATGTGCTGGAACCATCAGACAAGTGTGAGAGCAAAGTGCTTTCCCAACCCCCTGACTGGGACACTTGTGAGGAGGAAAGCACCAGTTGTACAGTGAAGAACTGAGGGTCATCTTTACCGCAGAGGGAAGATGCAACCCTCCAAAACAACTGTTACATCCGTCAGTTTAGTGAGAAAACCGGGTCAAGCTACCTTCTGACCGACTGGCATGGGAGTGACAGACACAGCTTAAGGAAGCATGGGAAGAAAACCTAATTACAGAGGTGTGGAAAGAATTTCACTGCCCTTTCTTCAACCTCCCCATGCCTATTTCTTACAATACGCCAGATAATAGGCCTGGGAGTCCTTCATGAAAATTAGATAATTAGATCAATTGATGGCCAATCATTTACTGAACGCTTGCTAGGCTGTGCCATTTCCATTATATCGCTGAGTCCTCTCAGCAAAGCTCTGAGGACAAGAGTGAATCCTATTTGGCAGACACAGACTCAGAAATGCTTGACCAAAATCCCAGAGGGAGGCCTCATAATCAGGAGTGAACTAGATAGCCAAGTCGGCAGTGTCAGAGTTTGAAATTATGTACCAGAAATGCAGGGTAGTGCTGGGTCGTTTCAACTTGTATGTTCAAAATTTTTATTCATCAAAGGTGACTTAGTGGTGGAAATTCCAGACCTTGGTGGTGTCACTCAAATACTCCAACTTCTTCTTTGAAAACTTATCTTTCTATTGATAGGAGGCTGGAACTACTAATTTAGGACCATGTCAGGAATTATTTACAGGAATAAGAGGTTAGATGAGGGACAACCAAAGTTTTATTAGAAAGCTTTGAAATGGTGATAGGTGTTCTTTGAGGGCAAATACCAAAGAGGTCACCTACAAAAGTTAAAAAAAAAAAACCCTTTTTAAAAAGATGAAATACAGTTAGCTATGCCCTGTGGCCTTGTTTAATTCCATTTTCCTTGTCTTATGTGAATGACATGGTCTGAAACCTGAATTTTTTTTTTCAGTATCAGACCTTCCAGGTTTCATCAGAAAAGGCACAGCTGGTGAAGAAATGCAGACTTTGGGGTGGGATGGAGGGGTTCCTCGATTTAATGCACTTACTCATTTTAGCCTCCATTTCAGCCAAGCAGGCATCCAAATTTGGAGGAGAGGTAAAGAATCAGCGGGAGGAAAAAAAGACAAATTGATGGACTCCTTTGCAAAGTCCTCTTTTCAAAGGAAATACCCAGAGATTGGGGCTTTTTGTTTGAATCCACAAGTAATTTAACGTGCTTATTACCTGAGCTCCCACAGGGGTTTGTCACTCATCAGAAGCTGTACTAAAGACATTCTAGTAGGTTCAGTATAAGCTCTGAGTGAAACCTTACTGAGCTAGTGACTGTTGTCAGACCAGGAGCATGTGAGAAGCTATTCCCCCAGCACACACACACGCACACACTTCCTCAATCAACAAACTACATGTTAAACTCAGCATCTTCAAGTAACTGTGCCAGGCACTTAAAGAGCTGAGGGGCAGTGAGGAGCAGTGTGTTTCATGGCTAAGAGTCAAAGAAATGGATCTACTGGGTGGTGACTCCTTGACCCACATTCATTCACGCCTCCCTTGTCCTGGAGAGCCAAGCCTTGCCTTGCCTCTGCCCCGCTCTCATCCGGAGGCTGGAGGGGAAAGAGAGGGCTGAGCTCTGCCAGCTAAATTCTCCTCACCTCCTCCGTTTCCGGAGTACACTCTTTTCTTCTGGGAGGTTGCCCAGCTCCTGGCCGAAAGGCTCCCATTGGGATGTTGATATTTGCCTAAAAGAAAAAAAGCAGGGAAGATTTAGCTCAAAAAAGGAAGTTGCAATGGCACTCAGAGACCATAATCATTGCGAGGAGAAATGCATCTAGAAAGTACATCCTTAAAGCTTTTTACCTCAAGAAAATTGCCATAATGACAGAATAAAAATATGCAAAGGAAAATGTGACTTCCATTTATTACAAATTTCTGGAACTCATCCTTAGGTCTGTGCAGTGATTTCACAATTCCCTGTTGAATAGAAGAATTTTAAGACACTTTGTTCCGGCTGTTGCCCTCCTGTGATGCTTAATATTTTTCTCTCCCTCAGATGGGGAAGGAACACATAATGATAGGAAAGAAGGAAACAGCATCCACAGAAGCCATTCCACTCCTTAGCCCTCCTTCAGCTTCCTTCAGATTCACCCTAGGAGGGCCGCATTCACACCTGCTAAACCACCTCCTCCTTTCCATAATGTCTATGATTTTTTTCAGCACTTCTTGAGATCTCTATAATTGATGCTCCTCTACCTTCTCCCCAGTACACCACTGTGCAGATCAGTGCATAAGGAGAGTGCTGGAAAGTCAAGTTCATTGGTGTCACGCTTCATAGATTTTTGTCCTTCATGAAGAAAATGTGTGAGGTGCCTGGGTGACTCAATCGGTTCAACGGCAGCCTTTGGCTCAGGTCATGATCCGGGAGTCCTGGGATCAAGCCCCACATCCGGCTTCCTGCTCAGCTGGAACCTGCTTCTCCTCCTCCCTCTCCCTCTGACACTCTCCCGGCTTGTACTCTGTCTCAAACAAATAAAATCTTTTTAAAAAAAGATTCTCTCTCTCCTTCTGCCCCTCCCCTCCACCCATGCTCTCTCTCTAAAAAGAAAACAAAAACTTTTTTAAAGGTAGAACATAATTTTTCCACTTAACGATAAAGTGTATGAGTTTTTGGATATGAGTAATTGGGTATTTAGACCTGAAAAGTTGAAATTGCACTTTGATGTTATGCAGGAAAATAATGCCCAAGCAAAGGGAATGAAATATTTTACTACCTGGTGATACAGTTTGGGCAATTTTGGTACCACATCAAACAAAATTATTAGGAAACGTGGTAGATCCATTTGGAACTGCCTGATATGACCTCTGTTGCCAGAGGAATGTTTAACTCAAGACAGGAAATATCCAGGGTCCATGTTCAGGCAGCCTGGCAGATCTGTGTTCTCCCCAGAGCAGGAAGTGATGTTTTCCTCCTAGGGTCTTTAAAACTCTCTTTCCTACTAGAATAAAGCTGATCCTACAGAAAGGAAACAGATCCAAAGTGTTTGTAGAGAGTATCAAAACAGGTACATCACCATTCCTAGGGCCAAGAAGCCAAAGAGTATTTTTATCGGTGTGTACAATGTATACCAGAATATAGATGCAACACAATTTTAGACGGAAGCATTTTGGAAAGTCTAAGGCTGAGCCTTCTATGCTATTCCTCTGCTTACTGGAAATATCAGGTGGTCTAGAGTGGGAGGAGGGAGGGGCATAAGGCAAGGGGGAAAATGCGTCTTCTGTGGTGGCAAATATGGTAGGATACCTCATGAATTCCGGGATACACCTCTTTTAATATCTCTGAAATCAAAATGCGTCTTACAACCAGTGGTTTCTTAAATTTTTTATTGGCACATTTTTATTTTTTGGCAGGCCATAAAATAATGGTATTTTACAGTTGGCAGCATCTTAGATTGGATGAACACTCATTAGGGTCCTGAAATAAGATCAAAACCATGAAAATAAGACCTGCAGACGATTATCTATATTGAAGCAATAACTATCTCCATTACTACACTTTGATTGAAAAAGGGGGGGAAAAAGAAAAAGGGGGGAAAGTAGGTACAAGGACTTCGGGGGGAGAAGGTTAACTGGCTAAAAGTTTAATTAGATCATCTCTACCCTGACCCATTTATTAAGCATCTACAGACGGCATCTTCCTAGTAGTGAGTTGAAGTTCACATAGAGTTTCTGAAAGACTTTATTGCTAAACGAACCTATTTGATCAAGTGCGCATGCTCGATAGTGGGTTGTGGTTTTCAGTAAAGGAACACATAAGGTCATCCAGGATAATGTATTCGGGTAAAACACATGCTATGGGAACACCACCTTTTCTTGCTCAGAGTTTAATTTTAGCAGTGCATGTCGCCTCTCCACGGTAAACGGGTGGCTTCTGCTAGGGAAAAGAGCCCAGTGCTAGGAGTTGTTACAGATTCTCTGTACTTGAAAAAGTGACAACTGTTCTGGGTCTCATCTTTCCCATTTGTAATATGAATGTTAGGCTTCGCCAGTGGTTTTCAGGCCTTTCAGCTCTGGAACCCTTTCTTCATGTAAAGTACTGTGAGCTAAAATGCAAACCAGGTAGAGGTAGAGCTGCTCTGGCTAAGGTGGAAGGGAGTGCAGGACCCCATCTGATTTTCCCAAACCCTGGGCCGTGAGCAGTTCCTTCCAGCGTGTGTGGGGCAGGGGGGCAATCTCACAACCATTGAAAGAGATCACCCTTAAGTGGATGAGTATTGACATGTACTTACAATGTTCATTCTTCCTATTGTTAAGTTGTCTGTAATTTACTCTCAACTAGCATAGGGGATGTGATATTTTATATGTTCAGCCTGGTCTAAACTGCAGCTCTAGAGAATTCTGTTGCTCTAAATGGGAGTTTATTCTCTCAGTAGGGTGGGTGGTCATTAGGTGGTAAAATATCACTAAGACCACGTTCCCACGATTGCTGCTCCAAGTCCTTCCATTAAGCCAAACACCCACTAACATCTGAGGTCTTGACATTTGAAGAAATGTCAAAAATAGGTGAAATAATGGCATGAGCATTAGAAATGGCTCTTGTTGAAGAAATTAGAGGAGGTTAGGGTCTGTAGACTGGTTAAAATGTTTTAGAGACAACCCCACCACCACCACCACCGCCACCGAACAGAGTGTGAGAATCTGATGGCCTGTAGATTGCATCTGCAGAGACAGAGCTCGGGGAGCGATCCCTAAATGGGCCTGTCTCCAGCCACCGATAACAAGGGTTTCCGCTGGGTGCTGCCAACTAGGGGCACGGAATCCCCACCTGCCTCATGTGAGCCTTTTATGTGACATGACAGTCACTTGAAGCACTTGAAGGAACGAGAGCTGAGGCTTCCTGGAGCCCGCAGACAGACTGCACAGCCCGGTTTGTGCCTGCTTGCTAATGAATGTGTGTTTAGCAAACGGTCGGTACATGTGGCAGAGCTGGGTTTGAGACTGGCTAAGCCGGCGTGACACTGGGGACCGTAACTACTCCCCTGGCCACCCACCACACAGTACTTTCGCCACCCCCAAACCCTGATTCAGCCTAGGGCCTACATCCTCGCAACAGACTTCCGAGGTTTGAGGTTCCTACCATCACCTTTGTTTTGCTGATGAAGAAACTGAGCTGGGGCAGCCCGGGTGGCTCAGCGGTTTAGCCGCCTTCAGCCCAGGGCGTGATCCTGGAGACCCAGGATCGAGTCCCACATCGGGCTCCCTGCATGGAGCCTGCTTCTCCCTCTGCCTGTGTCTCTGCCTCTCTCTCTCTCTCTCTCTCTCTCTCTGTGTCTCTCATGAATAAATAAATAAAATCTTAAAAAAAAAGAAACTGAGCCTCAGAGAAGTTAGATGTCACACAAAGAGTTGGAGGAAAAGCCAGGTTTCCAAATCAGAGCTTCTGATCTTAAGGACAGATTTTTTCACTCCATCAAGCCCTCTCCAAAGAGCACTTTTTTACCTGAACAAAATGAGCTCTAACCACTCTAAAATTCTCAAAACTGTCAGAAAAATTACAGGGTTACACTTTGAGAATGGCCTTGGAAAACGGGCACACAAAATGGATAATCCCAAAATCGGTGTCAGAGAAAAGCCACATTGAAAAATGAGCCATTAACTCACTGACTTGATGCTTTTTCATCTTTAAGGCATCCCTCAAGAAACCAGGAACCTAAATGGTTTTTTTTGACAGCAAATATTGACAGGATCCAAAGCAGCCCAAGAACGCATCAAATATCCAGCCATTAACGTACACCTGAAGGGAGTGTCAGAAGAGTGCTTTGTAAATGATTAGAGACAGTTCATTAATATAATTGTAGGGTGGTGATATCTGAGTGACAAATTACAGACTAAATTATAGCCATAAGAAAAATTCCTTACAACTTGAATTTAATGAAAATACATAGACCTTAGCTCTCTTTTTTATTCCATTGGCTAGAGAATCATGTCATAATCTTGTTTTTCACTGACTCAACTCTGTTTGAACGCAAATAAAATACCTTTCAATGATTAACATCTCCATCTGCAAATTGGGTATGATATTCACTATTCAAAATGGATTTTGAATAGTAGGTGCATTTTTATGAAAGAAAATGGAGTCAATCCAGGTCATTGGTGGTAGACTTTCTCTGTGTTGAGTTGACTCCACATCATTGATGTTATTAGACTTTTTCTAGATTTGTTTATTCTATAAGGTTGCACTTCCTTCTCTTTATAGACTCTGTATAAATGCAAAGGAAGCAGGCTTTCGTTTCTTCCTTTCATAACACATTCCCTTGCATTTCTTTTCCTCCCTTAAGTTTTATTCATCTTAGATATTTTTAAATATGCCCCTGACGCAGCAAGCCCAGTGCATAGCTTTCCCAAGCTATACATAATTTGGTACATCCTCGAAGTTGGGAATGGAAAAAAATCTACTAGATCATCTTTTGCCAGAACAGGATACAGTTCCCTGATAATGGACCTATCTGATGTGAAATGAATACTACACTTGATCTTACCAGGCGAAGAAAAGTAGAAAGAATTCCCTGTAAGTTAATTCCACTACTCCCTTAATTATTTGTATTGTTCTCCTGCTTGGCTCCAGGCATTGAGCTTGAGGATTCTGGAAACAATATTCCCTCCACAGTCCCTCCTGTGTGACTTACAATGGAGTGACATCTTCTTTCCCCAGTGGGTTGGATTCTGATAACTCTCCGCCCCTGGG